TATTTCTTCTAATGCGAATTATTGAAATTACTCGGTAAAATATTATCCACACCTTTAGCACCTTATAAAATTAAATTGTTTTACTTTTCGGCTACATACTCTACAATTTGATGTCGTATTAATTAATTTATGACGTGTGCACTATGCGTGTTTTATTAAAACAAAAGACGATTAAAAAGCAGCAACTGGCCAAAAATTTATAATTAAAAATAAAAAGTTTCAAATTAAAAATAAATTATCGATTCAACTTTTGAAAAAGAAAAACAAAGAACTTCTCGGCGGCCAGTGCGCTACTGGTTAAAATGGCCTATAAAGTTACGTCATAAAAATATTATGTACATTCATAAACTAGTTTTAATATTTTTGTAAGGCATTGAACTTGAACTAATCCAGTTTTAGCCGAAGTCTAACGAATTTTAAGTAAACCGTTATTTTTATTTACATTTATTTTTATATTAGGAGATTTGAATAATATCATTATGAGTAAATTAATTGATGTTACATCTCAGATACAACATAATATTCTATTGTTTGTTGTCTAAGTTTGTTTTGTAAGAAAAAAGTAGACTAAATTGGTCTAAAACGCGAATTATCCCGTTCGTTACGCTTGAAAATATTGTTTTCTAAATAATTACAGTTTTATCGCCATTTGCGACATAGGACAAGTAATAATATAGATCACTTAATTACCTGATTGTTGCGGTATTTCCAGTATTAACATAATTTATGAAAATACAAACAAATCAGATTCAAAAACAAAAGAAGAGAAACCATTATTGAGTGGATTTAAATTGAACAACTTTTGTCTGAGCCTTACAAAAAGATATTTAACATGTTTTTATTTAATAACACTAAATGTATGGATTTTCCTATTAAATCCGCGCTCCAAAAAACTTATTTGCGTCAAACGATGATAGTCTTTTTTAGTCAGATTAGATCATAGTTTGTATTGTAATAGAAAATATAGACACATAATGAACGCCTGGACAACTAACTAGGGTTACCAGTTGTTACTACTTAAAACCTTATAAACAATATTGCATTTGTAAGAGTTACCTACTTCATGAGATCCTATCATCCAAAGTCAATGTTCAAATTCAAATGTAAAAAATCTTTTGTTCACGTCACAAATATAGTTTGCTCTACCAACACCTCAGGGCATTATAGATGCTAAGAAGTGGGGGAACGAAATCTGCATAGCTTAGGAATCAGAAACAGTTAAATCAATGCACTTTTGGATCACTTTATTTATTCATCAAAACTTGTCCCCATTATTTCTAAAGTATAAGCCTAGGCGCAGACCATCGATTTTTCGTCGGCCGATAGTTTACTCGAGCAGTTGATCAGTATGGTCATGTATGGAAGTGCGCACATTACAATTCGATTTGGCAGATTCATACAATTTAAAATCGGGCACAACTATCGGCCAACTAAAAATCGATGGTCTGCGCCTAGTCTAAGACTAATTTCTAAAAATTAACTGTTAATCAACTGAATACCTAATGAAACTGTAAATTTTGGAAATCCTGATTCGAAATAACTTTGAAAGTTCGATGACTTTTTGTGATCGACTAGTATCAATATGGGTTTTTATGGGTTTTACCATTAAATCGCGTTTTTGTTTCTAGGCACACTATAAAAATATATCTTTATTATAATTCACCTCTACAAGACCTTGTCAAGATTTTGACTTTTATTTCACCCATAGAATTAAAAAAAGGTTTTGTAATAGCTGTTGCGAAAATTATGTAAATCAAACTAGTTATATTTATATACTACTAGCTTTCCGCCCGGCTTCTCCCGCGTGGAATTTTGTCTGTCACAGAAAACCTATATCACGCGCGTGCCTGTTTCAAAAACCGGGATAAAAACTATGTCCTTTCCCTGGACTCAAATTATCTGTATGCCAAATTTCATCAAAATCAGTTCAGTGGTTTAGCCGTGAAAGCATGACAGACAGATAGTTACTTTCGCATTTATAATATTAGTATAGATTTTTCGGTCTTTGAACTTGAAATTATAATGTTGGTAGCAATGATATTTGCATATAATGGCAGGTTGATGCAAGAATACATTTGTAATTGATTGCAAAATTGCAAATACGTAGGTTAATGCTATTATAGACTAGTTTTTACTTAAGTATGTACCTACGATTTGAAATTATGACAGACGCATTTTTGATTAATTGCTAGAAGTAAATACCTACTTATCAAAAATGCCGCGGAGTCAGTTATTATTATTTAATATCTGTTGAAGTCATTGATTGGTGACTATGAAAATATTTTCATTGATTCATTTTATTATATTACTTGTAGTTGGTAGAATTAACTGCCATAATAAAATTAATGTGCGGGAAGTATAGGCCAGATCCCCCACTTACCTAAAGAGAGGGTCGTGCAGTCATGCATCGGAACCAAAATGGTCTCTAGTCCCGCATTGAACACTAAATGAATGACCTAAAAACTTTACTCGATAAAAGTTTTTAGGTTTATCGATATTGCATGATTAGCCCATACATTTGTCATCTAAAATCGTCGACAAGATNTGCTTGCTTGCTTGCTTGCTTGCTTGCTTGCTTGCTAGCTTGCTTGCTTGCTAGCTTGCTTGCTAGCTTGCTTGCCTGCTTGCTTGCCAGGTTGCATGCTTGCTCGCTTGCTTGCTTGCTCGTTTGCTAGCTTGCTTGTTTGCTTGCTTGCTTGCTGCATGCAATGCTTATTATAACAATTGAACTTTATATAAAATTATTGTTATATGATTTAAGTTTTATAGGAAAAGAATTTTATCTCATTTGATTGTTCGACATTTTATTTTTATATGATTTGAATGTTATTTGTTTTAAATAGTATACATTGTAAGTTTTATAGAAAATATTCATTATATCAAACCATTTTATATCAGTTGTTAGTTATTTGTCTTAAAATTATTCGTTTTAAAATTATATTATTCGTTTATTACAGTAAATGATTATTAAATTAAATGATTTTATATAATTTGATGTTATATCCTCTAAGTATTATATGATATGTAGTTATATCATACATTACACACCCTTTACAAACATTACTAAGAGGTCTCATAGTGCGCGTGGACGCACAGGATGACACACGAACCAATCACAGAGCTCTATTCAACGCTATGGGTCAATTTGCTGCTTCACTTAAGCAAGCATCATTTGTGAACACGGGCGTAAGATGCCACTGTGTTATTGATGTGCTCTCTACAAACAATGACGTCCATTCAAAGTCATGTCGTTACGTCACATGTACTTGACATTCAGCAAGGTCCGCCCTGATCCATTACTGACATTACTGACTAATTGTTTTTCGCAACGACACTAATTTTACCTGAAGCTTGCGCGTTACCGAGGGTCAGTTACCGATTGTGCTTGTGGCGGGCCGTCAGTATTGACATACCAGTGGATATTTATTTATTTTAAAAAATACGCCGGAGTTTGCAATAGATTAGGTGCGTGTATTTTTTTATTTTACATTTGTGTGCGAAGAAATTGCAGCATTGAAGTTAATTCGTTGTTGATTTCAATGTGTATATTTACGGAGCTGGAACGTTTAAAAGTTAAAAGCTGAGTTGCACCATGTAACTTAGATCGTAACTATAACCTAACCGGTGTTTTTGTATGGAGTTTGACAGATATTTGACGTTTGTCTCAGTTAAAGTAAGATAGTGCAACCCAGCCTAAGTATTAATGACTAACTTACATCTTTGATAGGCAATTAATGGGTAAAAATATGGTTCATTTTGTAAAAAAAAAAGTTCTAGCTGTGGACTCGAATGAACTACTGGTAAATACAGCTAGCTACAACGCATCACATTGGAGTTTATTGCAAAATAACAATACGTCGTCAGTACAATGACTCAACTCCACAAGTCCGCCTTGGTGCTACATTTTCGTCACTGCCCTTTATAATTCTTGAAAAATGTTAATGACATGCCTATCATACAAATTGAGTTTTGACACAAGAATGTGGAGTCACACACGACAGTTCACTCAATTGGGACATTCTCTTCAACTTAAGGATAACCAGTGCTTTTATTTACTTTTCTTGAACTTTATGCAAGATTGACACCGTCCTGTGAACTTTTTATGTAAACATTGACGTAATAAAATATCTGAAACATTGTTTGACATCCAATTTTAAATTATTGCGGACTTAAATTGTTTTTTTATGTCCTAAACTGCAAGAGTCAATCTGTAAATTATTATGATCATATTTGTGTAAATGGTGACCTATTTTAGAGTTAGGTACCTTGAAAGTAGAAGTAATATTTTGTCTTACTTCGAAAACATTATTTAAAACATTGACCTTCACTAATTAGGTTTGTTATTGGCGCTTCAGCTGTAGATCCTGGCTACACAGGCAGGAGTTGCAGCGGTGCGTCTTTCCGTTCTATACATGGCCAGAACGCACCCATAGGAAACTGCTCGTGTATATTTTGTAGTGCCCGTTTGTAAATCTGTGACTCCAAACTATACACGAATTTTGCGTACTGATCGTGTATACTTTGGAAGAGCTTAGTAAAAAAAGTCATATCCAAACTATACTCGATTAGTTCCTACTACACCACTTACACTTGACTAGAGTGTGTTTAGTTGATATTGATTTAGTAAAATATGGAATTATATTTAAAATTACATTTATTCGATATTATTACATAAAATATTATTATTTTACTGAATCTATAATAAATCTAGATTTTTAACACAATATATTTTGGAGTATGATAATTGACCTAAGTTACTACAAATTATACGCGAGCAGTACGCAGCATATGCGTACTGGTCGTGTATAGTTTGGAGGAGCTTAGTAAAAAAAGTCATCTCCAAACTATACTCGATTAGTTTCACACCCTTGCGTTCTGGCTATGTATAGAACGGAAAGACGCTGCAGCGGTGGGAACGAGAGGTGGGAATAGTCCCGTACCATTACCCGTATTAATTTAATCATTTTCATAATATTTAACACACGTGTTTCTCTTTTCAGGTGTCAATTCAACACTCGAGATGTCGTTCGTGGACTCATACAAAAATTTCATGCAAAGAAATAGCGGTAAGTTTTTAAAACTACAATATGTTTTCGATAATAAAATAATTTTTGAAGATTTCCTAACAATAATGATCCAGTGTGAGAATACAAGACAATACTGATATGGTTGTGCCATGCCATGGAATAAAAAAAAATTAACTTACACCTAATCGAAGAATTATTGATTAGAATACTAGATCTCAAAGTTTGAACACAATAATACTCTAAACTTAATGCAAGGTTTTATTTCAATAAATCAATCTACTCCATATTATCACGTCTTGAAATTATCAATCTTTACATAATAATAATAATCTATTACTGAAATATTATCATGGACAAAGATAACGATTTATCAGAAATGCAATAAAATGTCAGATAAATTTATCATCAATTAATGAAATACCACATAAATAATACATAAGTCTAGTAGATAAGTTAATTTCTGTAACACATTTGTTTGTAATTCCTAAAATAAATAAATAAAATACACTACACAATACTGATATTTAATTCAGAGTTTATTGACTTAGCCACAAAATATTTTGTGACTTCGAAGCGTGAACAGTGTACCTACCATGAGTTTACGTTAGGTGTGCTCGCTAGCAAGTACGTCAAAAATCTCTATGAAACATTTGTTTCTTGAAAGTAGCCGCTAGGGGCGCTGCACAATATGTCATACAATTAATGTCATATTTTTACGCAGTCGCTAGCGAGCACACCTAACGTAAACTCATGGTAAGCACACAGGGCTGTCAATGTACCATGTTCTTATGACGTCATCTCAAAATAAGTCAGAATAATCCATGATTATTGTAGCATCTTATTATTTTTTAAACTTCAAGGTTTAAATAACTCTAATTCAAAAATGTTGACAACGTATTTTGACTCCTAGTTAGTTACTTGATAAAATGAGACAAATCTTACTATACCGCCTCATCAAGGCTTAAATCAATGAATTAATCCAAATGAAAATCTTCTAAATATTATGTAAGTATATCTCAAAGATGACTGACTGATATAGTGATCTATCAACGCACAGTCCAAACCACTGGACGGATTTGGCATGCAGGTAGATGTTATGACGTATACATCTGCTAAGAAAGGATTTTACGAAACTCCACCCCTAAATTAGTGTAAGGTACATACATACGCGGTGTTTGCGGGCAGCACAGGACCGGTCGTTATGAAGATTCATAGGGGAGGCCTTTGTCCAGCAGTGGACGTTATTTGCCTGAAACGAACGAACGAATAAATACATTTTCAGGAGGACCTCAGTTGATTCAGAATTCCGGTCCATAGGTATTGTAGAACTTAAAACTGGCAACCCTAGCTTCTTTAAAATAAATAAAAAGTTATAAAACGCAGCGAGCGTTGATGCAAGCCCAGCCTTGTTGCAACTGAGAATCTTGATAACCCATAATTTGGCTCGGTCTTAGTGGATTGCAAAAAGTTGGCCAATGTGAACGGAAATTATTGTTTTGGGTGTAACAATAAATTAACTGAGTGGAAGTGCTTCCACATTTAAGGTCAGATAGTAAGCGTGACTGTGATAGTCAGAAAATATCAGACCCGTCACATTTATGTAATTTGGACCACCTTTTTATGATAAACTATGTTTTGCAATAAAGTTTGACATTGTAGGGTCTGAACTATTGTTGAATTTCTTCTAATGCGAATTATTATTATTACTCGGTAAAAGATTATCCACACCTTTAGCACCTTATATAGTTAAATTGTTTTACTTTTCGGATACATACTCAAAAATTTGATGTCGTATTAATTAACTGATGTTTGCACTATGCGTGTTTTATAAAAACAAAAGACGATTGGCGCAAAAAAAGCAGCGGCAACTGACTAAAATTTTAAAGAATTAAATTAACGATTCCATTTTTGAAAAAGAAAAACAAAGAACAATCTGGTTAAAACGGCCTATAAAGTTACGTCATAAAAATATTTGTACCTACGTATAAACTAGTTTTCATATTTTTGCGAGGCATTGAACTTGAACTAATCCAGTTTTAGCCGAGGTTCAACGAATAAAAGCAGTTAACCGTTATTTTTATTTAAATTAATGTTTATGGTTTTTTATAATAAGAGTTGAATATTATAATAATTATGAGTGAATTAATTGATGTTATATTTCAGTCAACATAATATTCTATTGTCTGTTGTCTGTAAGAAGAAAATAGACTAAATTGGTCTAAAACGCGAATTATCCTGTTACGCTTGAAATATTGTTTTCTAAATAATTACAGTTTTATCGCCATTTGCGACATGGGGTGAGCAATAATATAGATAACTTATATACCTGATTGTTGCATTATTTCCAGTATTAACATAATTTATGAAAACACAAACAAATCAGATTCAAAAACAAAAGAAGAGAAACCATTATTGAGTGGATTTAAATTGAACAACTTTTGTCTGAGCCTTACAAAAAGATATTTAACATGTTTTTATTTAATAACACTAAATGTATGGATTTTCCTATTAAATCCGCGCACCAAAAAACTTATTTGCGTCAAACGATGATAGTCTTTTTTAGTCAGATTAGATCATTTGTATTGTAATAGAAAACATAGACACATAATGAACGCCTAGACAACTAACTAGGGTTGCCAGATGTTACCACTTAAAACCTTTTTTTTAAACAATATTGCATTAGTAAGAGTTACCCACTTCATGACATCCTATCATCCAAAGTCAATGTTCAAATTTAAATTAAAAAAATCTTATGGCCCAAAGTCAAAGTCAAAGTCAAAATTTCAAAGTCAAAATTTCAAAGTCAAAATTTCTTTATTTGTTTAGACTAATAAATAGTTCTTACAAATCGTCATTTTGCTCTTAAGGAGCCTCTATCTACATGTCTCATAATCTTTTTACCCTACCAGCGCTTCGAGACCAACATTTACCAAATATGGTTTGCTCTACCAACACTTTAGGGCATTATGGTGAACCTAAATAAATGAATAAATAAATTATTATAGATGCTAAGAAGTGGGGGAACGAAATCTGCATAGCTTAGGAATCAAAACGTGTTCCCATTATTTCTAAAGTATAAGACTAATTTCTAAAAATGTTGTCTAATTAACTGTTAATCAACTGAATATCTAATGAAACTGACAATTTTGGAAATCCTGATTCGAAATAACTTTGAAAGTTCGATGACTTTTTGTGATCGACTAGTATCAATATGGGTTTTTATGGGTTTTACCCACTACAAAATCGCGGTTTTGTTTCTAGACACACTATAAAATATTATTAAATAATGTTCATTATAATCCACCTCTACGAGACCTCAAGTCAAGATTTTGACCATTATTTCACCCATAGAATTAAAAAAAGGTTTTGTCATAGCTGTTGCGAAAAATAAGTAAATCAAACTAGTTATATTTATATACTACTAGCTTTCCGCCCGCGGCTTCGCCCGCGTGGAATTTTGTCTGTCATAGAAAACCTTTATCGCGCGCGTGACTGTTTCAAAAACCGGGATAAAAACTATGTCCTTTCCCTGGACTCAAATTATCTGTATGCCAAATTTCATCAAAATCAGTTCAGTGGTTCGCCTAAACCAAGACAGACAGACAGTTACTTTCGCATTAATAATATTAGTATAGATTTTTTGGTCTTTGAACTTGAAATTATAATGTTGGTAGCAATGATATTTGCATATAATAGCATGTTGATGCATGAATACATTTGTAATTGATTGCATAATCGCAAATACGTAGGTTAATGCTATTATAGACTAGTTTTTACTTAAGTATGTACCTACGATTTGAAATTATGACAGACGCATTTTTGATTAATTGCTAGAAGTAAATACCTACTTATCAAAAATGCCGCGGAGTCAGTTATTATTATTTAATATCTGTTGAAGTCATTGATTGGTGCCTATGAAAATATTTTCATTGATTCATTTTATTATATTACTTGTAGTTGGTAGAATTAACTGCCATAATAAAATTAATGCGAGGGAATTATAGGCCAGATCCCCCACTTACCTAAAGAGAGGGTCGTGCAGTCATGCATCGGAACCAAAACGGTCTCTAGTCCCGCATTGAACACTAAATGAATGACCTAAAAACTTTGNCATAGTGCGCGTGGACGCACAGGATGACACACGAACCAATCACAGAGCTCTATTCAACGCTATGGGTCAATTTGCTGCTTCACTTAAGCAAGCATCGTTTGTGAACACGGGCGTAAGATGCCACTGTGTTATTGATGTGCTCTCTACAAACAATGACGTCCATTCAAAGTCATGTCGTTACGTCACATGTACTTGACATTCAGCGAGGTCCGCCCTGGTCCATTACTGACATTACTGACTAATTGTTTTTCGCAACGACACTAATTTTACCTGAAGCTTGCGCGTTATCGAGGGTCAGTTACCGATTGTGCTTGTGGCGGACCGTCAGTATTGACATTTACCAGTGGATATTTATTTATTAAAAAAAAATAAGTTGGAGTTCACAATAGATTAGGTGCGTGTATTTTTTTATTTTACATTTGTGTGCGAAGAAATTGCAACATTGAAGTCTAATTCGTTGTTGATTTCAATGTGTATATTTACGGAGCTGGAACGTTTAAAAGTTAAAAGCTGAGTTGCACCATGTAACTTAGATCGTAACTATAACCTAACCGGTGTTTTTGTATGGAGTTTGACAGATATTTGACGTTTGTCTCAGTTAAAGTAAGATAGTGCAACCCAGCCTAAGTATTAATGACTAACTTACATCTTTGATAGGCAATTAATGGGTAAAAATATGGTTCATTTTGTAAAAAAAAAAAGTTCTAGCTGTGGACTCGAATGAACTACTGGTAAATACAGCTAGCTAAAACGCATCACATTGGATTTTATTGCAAAATAACAATACGTCGTCAGTACAATGACTCAACTCCACAAGTCCGCCTTGGTGCTAAATTTTCGTCACTTGCCCTATATAATTCTTGAAAAATGTTAATGACATGCCTATCATTACAAATTGAGTTTTGACACAAGAATGTGGAGTCTCACA